GCCAGCGCCCGGTTGACTCGGCCCCCCTTGGCGCGCCTGCGGACGGACGAGTCGCTGCTCCAGCGCCCCGCTGCTTCAGCCCGGCCGCGCCCCCGAGCCCGGCGAGCGCCTCGTGCGACGCCCCCCCGTGCCTGAGTTGGCACGGCGCGGGCGGGCCCAAGTGCACGAGCCGCAGCCGTCGCCCCGCGTCGGCGAAGCTCTGGACCCAGCCGGCGCAGTTGAACCTGAACAGGTAGTCCCCCTTGGCCTTCCGCCTGAGGAGGTCCAGCACTTTCCTCGGCCAGGCGAACTCGGGGCTGTCGAGCACCAGCGACTCGTCGTGCGCCCCCGTCTTTGAGCTCACTCCGTGCTCGGGCGGGCGAAGCACCATGGGCCAGCGGCTGCGACCTGCCCCGCCCTCTCGGGGCGGAGGCACCGCGTCCTGGACTCGGATGCGCATCACCTCGGCGGGCCTGAGAATGAACGCGAAGGCCACCACGCCGCCGACGCCATCTGCAGCTTCCCCTCGAGCGCCAGCGCGTTGGCCATGAGGGCGGGCGGCCGCGGGGGTGGGATCCTCTCTCTTGGCGGCGCGGCCCCGCGCCAGCTCGGGCGCCCCGCGTGCCAGCCCCGGCCGAAGATTCCCCAGGGCCGCCAGGAGGTATCTGCCGCTCGCCAACCCGGTGCCTTCGAAGAACTGCTCGTTCACCCAGGCCACCGCGGCGGCGTCGAGCGCGGCCGCGGGCTCCAGCGGCATCCCGGGCGCCAAGGCCCAGCGCTCGAAGGCGGCCACTCGGTTGCGGCAAGTGGCCTCCGTGCGAGGGCGCGCGGTGCGGCGCTCCAAGAAACTCATCGGGGCGTCGACGTCCGTCCTCTGGCTGCCGTGCTTCTCCAGCCTCCGCCTCTTCCTCAGCTCCAGCGCGTCCGGCTCCAGCTCGGCCGACGCGGCCCCCCCTGCCCAGCGGGCGGCGCCTCGTTGCCCTGGGCGGCCCGGGGGCCGCACCCGCGCCCGCGCCACGGTGCGACTGGCGCGCAGCCGAAGGGCCCGCAGTCGGCCCCAGCCGCCGCAGCCCTCGCCCCGACGCTGAGACCTGTGTCCTGGCGGTCGGCAAGGTCGGCCGACTCAGCTGCGACGCCGTCGGCAGGGCGGTCTGCCTCGAGGGCTTCGTCACCTCGCCCAGGACCGTCTTCGCGGCGTCGAGCGGCCGCGGCAGCATCCCGCCCTGCGGGCCCGCGGGCGGCCTCAGCACTGCACAGCGGCCCGCATCTGGAGCTGTCGTCGGCCGCGTTCCTCTCGGAGGGCACCCATCGAAAGTAGATGGACACGGAGCCGATCAAACAGAGCGCGGCCCACTGCCGCATCACGGTGCCCACGCCTCGCGCCGAGGAGCGGCCCTTGGAGGCGGCGAGGATGAAGGGCGCGGCGTCAGACAACATCATGCGGCGCTTCCCGATGGACTTCCGACCCCGCAATATGTGTTTCAAGGCCCACACCCCCGCTCTGCCCACCATGACGACCTGAGGCCCCTGACGATCCCATGGGGGCGATGACACTCTTCTGCAGACACCTCCCAACATAGATCGAGGCACGGGTGGGGCACGGCGCCGACAAGCTCCGAGATCTGGGACTTCCAGATCTCCGCGGGCGGCGACTGCGCCCTCCTCGGAGCGCGCGAAGCGCCGCCGGTCGTTGAACACCGAGGCCCTCGCCAGCCACTCCTCCGGCACGCGCTTCTGCATGGCGCCTCTGCCCCGCGCGGAGCATCGAACGCGGTGGGCCGCGAGCCCCTGCGGGCCCCTAGCTGCCCCCCGGCTAAGGGCGCCAGCGCGGCTGCCAGGCGCAGCTCCTGCCGCGCGCTGTCCAAGAGCTGGCCTGACATCTCCCCGAAAACCTCGACGTGCGCGTAGCTCGCCGAGAGGGCGCAGAGGAGCCCCCTGCGAATCGGGGCTCGAAAAGTGCAGCGGCCGATCACGCTCGACAGCCCCCGACCGCCGACAAACTTCCTGTCGGCCAGGGCGAGCGGGCCCAGCCGGAGGCGCCAGACGGACCGAGGGGCCACCTCCACGGCGGCCTCGAGCTCGGAGAAATGCCAGCCCAGCGCCTCGCCCCCCGCGCCCCAGCTCGGAGGGTGCGCGGGCAGCCCGGCGTCCTGCAGCGCCTGGGTGGCCGACGGCGCGCGGCCCTTCACCTCCTCCGCGCCCTGGCTCAGCGCGACGAAGTAGCCCGCGTGCTCCGCGCGCAGGCCCGGGCGAGCGGGGGCGGGGGCGCGGAGTCTCGAAGCCGATCGTCATCTCCAATCTTCGCCGAGCGGTCGATGGTGCCCCCGCGCAGCGTCTGGCAAGCCCAGAGGGCGTTCGCCCCGCCCATCGGCAGCACCCTCAGCACGGGCACGACGCGGCTCTGCGCGCTCACGGCCACGCCGTCGACGCAGGTCACGTTCACCATGCCGGCTCGAACGGGGGCGAGGCCAAAGTGCGCGCGAAGGTCACGGGGCAGCAGCATCGCGTAGAAGGCGACCTGGATGTCCACTCCCCCGACGATGATGGGCGGCCCCTCGTCCGCGCGCACGGCGCTGGAGGCCTGCCCCGTGGCGAGCTCCGCGGAATCGTGCTCGTCGAACACGCAGTTCGCGATCCTCGCATCTATAATCACTCTCTGCTCCCCCCACTTCTCCCAAACCGAGCGCGCGCCCACCACCGTCTCCGCCGAGCGCCGGTACTCGACGAGCCCCGCCGCCTCGGCCCGCCAGAGGAAGGCGGCGTAGACGCGCGGCCGTTGGCGAAGCACAGGGCCCCAATGCGGACGACTGACGCCCGCCTCCGCCCCCCTAATGTCCGCCTGCTCTCTTGGCGAGAGCTTCTCTCTCAGACGGTCGACGATGAATCTGCCCACCGCGCCCCCAGCCGACTCCAAGTCAACGGGCTCGATACCGACGGGCGGGAGTGCGAGGTGGCGCGCGTCGAACGGGGCGACGACCGACGGCCCCCCGTCGCATCGCCGCAAACCTCGAAGCTCATCCAAGGCCCCTGAGTGCCCCGCGTCGGACGGCGGCGGGCCGACCTGCGACTAGGCCTCGCGGGCCCGCCTGGGCGGCCGCCAGACGGGGGGCGCGATCCTCTCTCGGCTCGGAGACGCCGCAGTAGAGGTGGACGAGGGCGGCGATGGTCTCCGCCGTCCCCGACTGCAAGCGGGCGCGACGCTGAACTCGCCGAAGCACTGATCGACTAAGCGGCACCGAAATAGCATCCTTCTCCCCAGCGAAGGCCTCGAGAGGAATGGGCAGGATGTCGCGCATGCGGCCATCGCCGCGAGCACGTCTCGAAAAAAACCCTCAAAGGTGCCGGACGGCGGTCGGAGTCATCCGCCGCCCGGCCTGCCCACATCACCCCTGCTCCTATTGGCCCTTCGAGGGCGCTCCTCTCGCGCCTTCCTCACCTGCTTCATCGCCGATGCGTCCCTCTCCACCTCCTTCGCCGCGTAGTCGAGGAGGTCGGGGGCGATCATAGCCTCGCCCGTGTCGCGATGGGCACCCAGGAACACGGAGGCCTCGTCGACCAGCCCGATCCGATCCTGGAGCCCGCCGCCCTTGCTCTGCTTGCTCTTGCCATTGCCGCTGCCCGCGGCGCCCTGGGCGTAGACACACTCCACGAGCTGAGCATGGCGCACCGCCACCTCGAGGGCAGCAGCATTCGTCACGTCGAGCCCGTCGTAGCATCCCGCCTCCTCCAACATCATCAAGATCATGCCATGGGCGTCGACGCCCCAGTCGGTCTTCGTGAGACCGCACACCTGCTTGAAAAACTGATGGTGATCTGACGGTCCGGCTCCCCGACGATTGATGTAGGGAGCACACCAGGCCACGGTCCTTGGGCCAGGGATCGGCCAGTCGCTGAACTGCACAACCGAGAGCATCATGTCTACGTCCCGCCACGGTCGCCTACGGCGTGCGGCGGGAGAGCCCTCGGGTACCTCGATCATCTGCAGGTCCAGGATCCGAACGTCAGCTCCCGCTGGGACCGCCACGCCGGCCTCCTCGGCCTCTCGCATAAGTGGTGGTCCCGCGGGAGCGGCAACACCTTCGGCCCTGAACTTCGCCAGCAGCTTCAGGGCGCCTCCTGGGGGCGGCACGGCAGGGCGACCGTTGGCTCTCTCACGCGCGACGTAGATCTCGCTCGCAGGAGCCACGGCCTCGGCCTCGCGCGCCGCCAGGTCGGCCGCCCCAAGGTCTGCCCGAAAACGGTAGCACTCCGCCCGCGGGACTCCTCCTGGAGGGGGCCATCGACGATCGGAGAACCGCGCAGCCGTCACGTCCTACTGGCTGTCTAGATCCAGCAGCTCTTCAATATACACGCCGTCGTCGGGAGTACACACCAGCACATTAGTCTCCGACGACACCACGACTAACAACACTCAGCGTTGGTGCCATAATCGAGGCGGGGCCGCGTCGTTGTACAGCACAAGCGCCCACGCTCTCAGCCGACGGCTGAGCTCCATCCCTTGGCTCAATCTGGACCACGAGTCTCGTCGGCGTCAGCCACGTACCCAAGGCAAGTCCAGTCACAAAGAAACAGCCCGCCACGAGAATCCAACCCCACAGCCCTAGCCCGCCTGGCGCCGACGGCGAGGGCGGGTTGGCTGTGGCCCCAGGGCACGCTGGGCACTGGGGGCACGGTGGGCAGGCAGGCACAGACGGGCAGCGCGAGAGCCAGAGGAAACTCGCTTGCCCGCCCACCTGCGCCAGTCCAGCCAGGGCGCCCGGCAGCAGCCCTGCCATGCACTGCTCGGAGCCTGGTCCGGGAAAAAGCTTGAGCGAAAGGGTTACAAGCACAAACGATGCTGCAAGATGCGCGGCGGCACTCGGACGAGGGGGCGATGGACACATGAGGTAAACGATGTAGTATCATCATCATTAGCAGCAGCAACAACCTGTTTCGGGTAAGTTTGGGTCCTCTTATTACCCTCCCTTCACCCCCACCAACCACTTTCCCTCCCTCCCATCCTCCAACCCCCGCACCCCTGCCATCACACCCCACTTCCCTCACCTCGGCTCAACACGCACGTCGTGCAAGGGATCCGCACTCTCGCGGTCTATGGTGGCTGCGGACGGGGTGGCACGTAGCACCGACGGTGACGACGATCAGCACTCCTAGGCGTGGTGGAAAAGGACGGGGACGACGAGGAGGGTGGAACGAGGACGTGGCGCTGCGGTGCCTTCACGACGGCACAAGGACTGAAGGAAGAAACAAGGAGGAAATGGGAGAGTGTATGTACGACACGGAGAATGATCCAATCAGAGACCTGCAAGACCAAAGCGCACCCGTTCACGGGGCTGCCCTGGAATCAGCCTGCGCGCGGCATCAACGGAAACCGGACAACGACTGACGGCATCGGCAACCAGCGCCCAAACAGGCCAGTCGGGAGACATCTGAATCACCGCTATCTGGCACTGAGAGTGCGAAAAACGACCCCTCCTTCTTCTCCAAATCCTCCCCCTCCCCCCCTCCCCCTCCCCCTCTCAGCCTTCGCTACCACCTCACTCTGCGAAACACGACCGCGCTGGGTCCTCGTCCTCCTCCTCCTCCTCCTCCTCCTCCTCCTCCTCCTCCTCCTCCTCCTCCTCCTCTTGCCTCCTCCTCCTGTTCTTCCCCCTTCCATCCACTTCCTCCTCCTCCTCCGTCATCATACCATTAGAATCGCGGCCTCCTTCCATCCACTTCCGCCTCCTCCTCCTCCTCCTCCTCCTCCTCCTCCTTCTGCATCACACCATCATAGTCACAGCCTCCCCCTCCTCCTCCTCATCATCACCACCACCACCATCACAACATCATCAGCATCATCAGCATCCTCAGCATCATCATCAGCATCAGCATCATCATCATCTTCACCATCACCATCACCATCACCATCGCCAATCACCATCACCATCACCATCATCATCATCATCATCATCATCATCATCATCATCATCATCATCATCATCATCATCATCATCACCATTATCATTATCATCATCATCATCATCATCATCAGCATCATCATCACACTCCTCGCTCCCCCTCCATTTCGTTCTCTTTGTTCTCCCTGCTTCCACTGCCTCATCCCTCTTGCCTCATCCTCGGCTCTCACCCTCCTCCTCCTCCTCCTCCTCCTCCTCCTCCTCCTGCTCGAGCGGTGTCGGGATAAATCGATCTGGCGCTTGAGCGAGCAGAAATGGGATCGCGATGACGTGGCAAAATTTAGTGAAAAAGCGCTCAACTCGTGGTTACACGAGAAGCTTCTTCAGGCGTTGTCCATCTTGTTCATGTAGCAGCACAGGTCCACGAGGCGGTTGGAATACCCCCACTCGTTGTCGTACCAAGTCACCAACTTCACGAAGTTGTCGTTCAGGGAGATGCCGGCACCGATGTCGAAGACAGACGAGGACTTGCAGCTCACGAAGTCCGTAGACACCACCTCCTCGTCGGTCCAGTCCAGGACGCCCTTCATCGGACCGGCCGCCGCCTCCTTCACGGCGGCCACGATCTCGTCGTACTTCGCGCCCTTCTCGATGCGGCAGGTCAGGTCCACCACGGACACGTCCGGCGTGGGCACGCGGAACGCCATGCCCGTCAGCTTGCCGTTCACGGCGGGGAGGCACTTGCCCACGGCCTTGGCGGCCCCGGTGGAAGAGGGGATGATGTTCTGGGAGGCGCAGCGGCCGCCGCGCCAGTCCTTGCCGCCGCGGGACGGGCCGTCCACCGTGAGCTGCGTGGCGGTCATCGCGTGCACCGTGGTCATGAGGCCCTCCACGATGCCGAACTTCTCGTGCACCACCTTGGTCAGCGGGGCCAAGCAATTCGTGGTGCAAGAGGCGTTGGACACCACCGTGTCGGAGGTCTTGTACTCCGTGTGGTTCACGCCGACGACGTAGATCGGGACCGCATCCTTCGGAGGCGCGGAGATGATCACCTTCTTGGCCCCGCCGCCCATGTGGAGCTCGGCCTTCTCCTTGGCGGTGAAGACGCCAGTAGACTCGCAAATGTATTCGGCGCCCACTGTGCCCCACGGGATTGACGCCGGGTCCTTCTCGTGAAACACTGCAATCTCCTTTCCGTCCACGACCAAGAACTCCTTGCCGTCGGCCTCCTTAGTGGCAATGGTGCCGGGGTAGCTCTTATGCACGGAGTCGTACTTGAGCTGGTACACCATGTACTTGAGGTCCATGAAGGGGTCATTAATAGCCTTCACTTCCACCTCCGGATTCTGGAGCGCCGCACGGGTCACGAGGCGGCCGATACGCCCGAAGCCGTTAATGCCCATGAAAGCTGGCATGGCTTCGTCAAGACTCGAAAACTACGGGGCTGCTGACGGTGGAACAAAGCGGAAGCCGAGCTTGAGCCAGGAGAGCGGCAATCCCGGGTGACTGACAGGTCTCGGGGATCTCCACGATAGATCGGGTCTGGGAAGTCTAGAACTCCAGTGTGTCCGAATGGTTTAGTCATGTGGCCACAGCAACGTAATTGATCCAAGAGGCATGTGGGCAGCAAGGGAGGTGGTCGCCATCAGAACGAAACGCCGAAGGAAGCGGAAGAGGAGGAGGAGGAGGACCAGTGTAAACCCGAGACTGACCAACGATGTTGGAAAACCCCTCCCCCCGAGATCCCTCTTCGTAGGCCCCTACAAATATTCATTTCTGAGGGAAGTGCCCCGTTGGGAGACAACTGTTTGAAGATCCTGAAACGTGCCCAGCAACATTCTCGGGACTTCAACGCCACGAACCAACCTGACCCGTGCGCCTTGATGATCCTGAATCGTGCCAGGACGCCGTTCCTGGTACCTCACCACCGCGTATGAGCGTAAGTAACTGGTGCTCCTTGCCAATCCCGAATCGTTCCAAAACACCGTTTCTGCTACGTTAGCCATGGGAACATATGAAACTTCTGCAGATGTTTACGGCGAATGTGCGCGGGGCTAATTCGAGAACCACCTGTTGAAAAGGAACCGCCCTCAATCGGTGAAACCCTTGCGCATTTGTAAGACGAATGCTCGCGGCACTAAGGCGAGAACAACATGTTGAAACCCACCTGCCCTCACTCCGTGAAACTCTTGCGCATGTGTAAGGCGAGCGTGCGCGGCGCTAAGGCGAGATACACATTTTTGAACACAACCCGCCCTCAACCCGTGAAACTCTTCCCATTCTTTCGAACGGAAGTAGGCGGCGCTCAAGCGAGAACCGCATTTTGAAAACGACCCGCCCGCCATTGGTGAACATGTTGTCAGTCTGTAAGCTTCAAGGTCATAGCTGGTAAAGAAGTCTTAAGCTAAACGCTCGGCCCACCCTTTCGACAAGCCTCGGGGTGCGACAGGGAAGAGCCATGAACAAGAAAAAAGGATGGATGAGCTAGTGCTTCGTTAAAGAGATTGCGGCCGCGATCAATAGAGGGCAGAAAATCCACCCCCATGATGATCACCCTGACACGCGAAGCCGTTTAGTAAACGCACCCACATAAGGAATCGAACAGGGCGAGGCTGTTTAGTAAAAGCCCAAGGCTGCTTAGCAGACGCAGAGTATCGGGTCCGGGTGGCTTTCCTCCCTTGAATCAAGGACGATATACTTATGCTTGATACAAGAGCCACTTAACTCGACATGTCCTCCTCGACTTTCCAAAAACACGTGGAATCCGCCAAAGAAGCGACTGTACGGACAGGCAGGTGACTGTGGCAAGGGAGATGTCCGAGGCACAGGCTGCCTTCCCCCCATCCACGGCCTCTTCGTCGTCCTCCCCCTCGTGCTCCTCCTCCTCCTCCTCCTCCTCCTCCTCCTCCTCCTCCTCTCGTTCTCCTCTCCCAAATGGTCATTCAGAGAAGTCGTGGTGCCATCCATCCGAAGAGTCCTTTGCGGGGCGACGCGAAGACAAGGGAAAACATGATACAGTCTGCCCCGAAAGGTCTGTCCACTCGGGTGGTGACACGCGGGGTTGTCCCGGGCAAACGTGGTACCCGCACGACTCGGTGTGGCACGACCTCGCTCAGGATGGGCCAGTGGCCCTGGCCAGAATCGGTGTCGGGGTACGTACAGCTGGCGCCAACCAGAGGAAGAAGGTGGGCCTCCCTTTCGCGCGCGCGCACGAGCTCCAGCACGGGTCGCCCAGCAAGCTTCCGCCGCGCGACCGGTGAGACCAGTGGGGACGCAGGAAGAACAGAACTGGCAGGTGGAGGATGGAAAGGACCAGGAGGAAGACGAGGAGGGGGGAGGGGAGGGGAAGGAGAAAAGAAAGGCCCCCGATCTACGCACTACGACGAGGTGGACTCGTCCGACAGCTCCCCCCCGTCGAATTCCTCGCTATAGTCGTCCTCCTCGTCCTTCTTGTCCTCCTCGAGCACGTCGGCCTCGGCCCCGTCCGCGAACGAGACTGCCCGCGGTGACGCGGCGAAGCTCGTCGCCGCGCTGACGGTGCCCTGCGCCATCGACGGCGGCGCGGCGGCGCCCAGGGCGCCCCCCGCCAATGCTCCAGCAGGGGCCTCGGTCGGCGCCGCGGAGGCCTGTGCTGGCGGCGGCGCGGCGGCGCCAAGGACGCCCGCCTGCGCCCCCCAAACTCCAACCAACACCGCTGGGGCCTGTGCCAAAGGCGGCGTGGCGGCTCCTGGGACGCCCGCCAGTGCTCCGAGGGCCCCAGCTGGGGCGGCTGGGGCCTGCGAAGCGGCGGCGGGCGCGGGCTGAAGGGGCGGCTCGCCGAAGCGCTCGGCAAAGCGGAAGCCAGACGTCTCGTTGGCCAGCGTGACCCACCCGGCTGGCTGAGCGATGCGCGCCCGCCTCCTTCCGCCGTCGAGCTGCTCCGCCAGCTCGACCACCTGCATCACTGTGCCCGGGGCCAGCTGCGCCACCGCGGCGCTCGTGCGCGAGGCGTCAGCGTTCACGGGCAGCTCCTTCTCCAGGACGCGGTACATCCCAGGGCCATCCCCCTGACTCGTCAGCACCACGGCTGGCGTCGCAGGCGGGGCCGCTAAGGCCTGCGAGGTGGCGGCGGGCGGCGCAGGCGGGGCGGCTGGGGCCTGCGAAGCGGCGGCGGGCGCGGGCTGAAGGGGCGGCTCGCCGAAGCGCTCGGCAAAGCGGAAGCCAGACGTCTCGTTGGCCAGCGTGACCCACCCGGCTGGCTGAGCGATGCGCGCCCGCCTCCTTCCGCCGTCGAGCTGCTCCGCCAGCTCGACCACCTGCATCACTGTGCCCGGGGCCAGCTGCGCCACCGCGGCGCTCGTGCGCGAGGCGTCAGCGTTCACGGGCAGCTCCTTCTCCAGGACGCGGTACATCCCAGGGCCATCCCCCTGACTCGTCAGCACCACGGCTGGCGTCGCAGGCGGAACAGGCTGCGGCGGCGGCGGCTCCGCGGGCGCACTGGCGGAAGCAGCAGCGGCGGCCTGGGGCCGCGTCTCCAAACGCGCCCCGCCAACGGGCACCAGTTCCGCGCGCCTCTTCGGCGTGGCCTTCCTCGAGGGCTGGCCTGCCGCCTCCTCGCAGGCGGCCGCCGCCTGGGCCGAGACAGCCTTTGCCTCCATCTCGAACTCGCTCGATAGCCCGCCAGGCTGCACTGCGCGCGCGAGACGCAGGCCATCCACTATCGGAGCCTCGCCCGGCGGCGGGCCCGGCGAACACTCCGCCAGCAGGGCGACCTGCGTCAGGTCAGTCCTCGACCATGCGTCTCCAAGCTCGGACGCCACGACCAGGAAAGCGTCGAGCGTCATCTCGTCGCAGAGCCGAGGCACCAGTATTGCGCGGTACGTCGCGAGGTGTTCCACGAAGCGCGCCAGCAGCGATGCCCTGTCCTGGCTCGGCAGGCAGCGCCATGGCGGCAGTGCCGCGCAAAAGTCCGCGCGCAGCCGGTCGAAGCTCTCACCGAGGGCCTCCGCGGTGGCTTCGTCCAAGCCCAGCTCGGAGCACAACTCTCGGGCCGCGAGCCTAGCGTCGGCGCCAGGAGCGTCGAGCACGCCGGCCAGCTTCGCGCGCACGTCTCTCTCGGGCTTGCCGCGGCGCCAGCACGCCCACCGCAGCCTTGCGCCCAGCACCTCTGGCCCGTCCCCGTCGACGGCGCGCGCAGCGGGCGCGAGCTCACTCGACAGCGCGATGAACAGGCCGACCACGACGACCTGACCGTGGGCGGCCACGCTGTCGTGCAGGCTGTCGATGAGCTGCTGCGCCGCGGCGACGGAGGCACCAGGGACTTCGAGCCGAGCCAGGCCGCTGGCGAGCTCTTCGGCGTTCAGCCAGCCGTCCGCCCGCGTGCTCTCCGCCAGGAGCACCTCCAGCGCCGACACGGCGCCGTTGGCGACGACCATGCGCAGACGCTGCAGCAGGTCAGCGGCCTCGCTCCTGCGCTTCCGGGGGAGCGCGTGCAGGGCAGGAGGGGTGCATGGGGCGAGGCGAAGGGGAGGGGAGGGGGGATGGACGGCACGGGAGGGGGGGCTGGGAGGGAATGGGGCTGGACGGGCAGGGGGCGGCAGGGGAGCGGCAGGGGAGCGGCAGGGGGAGGTGGGAAGGGAGACAGGAGGGGAGAGGACGTGAGGGGTCGAAGGGGAGCGGGAAGGAGGGGAAGGGCGGTAGGGGACTGCGAGGGATGCGAGGACGGAGCGGGAAGGGACAAGGAGGGGAGGCGTTGGAGGGGAGGAGGAAAAGAGGGTAGGAGAGGAGAGGGGAGAGGGCGGAGAAGGGACGGGGGGGAGGGGAGGGGGGACAAGGGACAAGGGGAGGGGAGAGGGAATAACGCGGTTTCTCGCCCCGGATCGATTTCCGGCGCCACCCGGATCCCGCTCGTCGACGGTTGGTCGTCCGTTGTCGTCGTCATCGTCCATTCCCACACGCATCAGGAGCGCCCCGGATCGGCGGCACTGGCCGGAGGCCACTACAATATGAGAGGTAATGATGGAGGGAGGGAGGGAGGGGGGGAGAGGAAGAGGGAGAGAGTGAGAGGGAGAGAGTGAGAGAGAGAGAGAGACAGAGCGGGTGAGTGATAGCGAGAGGGATATACCTACACACATACACACATGTATATATATATATACATACATATATATACATATAGAGCTAGAAACAACAAACAGAGAGACAGACAACCCCTGAGAGAGAGAGAGAGAGAGACAGAGATCAAGAGAGAGAGAGAGAAAAAAAAAAAAGACAGGCCAAAGACAGAGAAAGAGAGAAAGAGATCCAACGCAAGCAGCTAAAGGTCAGGCCACGGCAAGAGTGAGCAAGGCACAATGTTATCGAGCACTGTTGGAGAGTGCGTTCTCTCGGGCGAGGCACGGCGAAGGTGTGGCTGTGCGCGAGCGAATGGTGCTGGGCCAGTGCTGCCCCAAGGTTGTTTTCAACATTGCGCATGGGATGAGACCGTGGTGCCGAAGAAAGGGTCAGCGTCGGGCCTCTCGGGGAGCATCGGAGGCCTCCAGGAAGGCGTTGGAGGACCTGCGAGGACCTGAGGACCTCGGAGGACCTCTGAGACACTCGGGAGACCTCAGGGGGCCTGATGAGCTTCGGGGGTGCTTGTTGGGGCGTCAATACGCATACATCCCTCTCAACAGCTGGTTCAAATTCTTCTGCTGGAGCAAACTTACATGTACACGCCTTGCGCGGCGGGCTACACATATCACATATATCCGAATGGTACCAAGCTTACACATATACAATATCATTGCGACGTTATGTTGCATCCTCGGGGGACCTTGACCGCATCCTCGTCGACTCCGTGTCGAATCCATGTCGGACTCGTCGGATCCGTGTCGAATCCGTGCTGGATCCGCGTCGAATCTATGCCACATACGCGTAGTGTCAGCATCGGGCACAAGAGAAGACACCAAATTGGGGGACAGCCGAGGCTTCCCGCAGATGCAACGTAAGCGACGCAATTGCACACCACACTAATTTCGCAAAGGATGTACATAACCGCCTGTGACAAATATTACTGTGGCGGGTTCACATCTAGCTAACTTCATTGTACTACGGGCTTGCAGGTCGAATCCGCCCGCTTCGCAGGATCACCCCTCCTCTTGTCCGACGCCAACCACTACCGACCTCTCAGTTCGGGGCTCACCCGGATGCCCCTCCCGCCCCTCCCGCGCCACCACCGCCGCTCGCGGATCATCCCCCGTCCGGAGGCCAGCTGCACATGATCATCGACACCCTCGTCGCCCTCCCTCCCCTCTCCCTCCCACTCCGCCCCCCTCCCCACCCCCCGCTCCCCATCGCCGCCAAGAGGGCCGAGTCCCGCCTGCGCCGCGAGGCCAAGAAGGCCGAGGCGCACAAACGGCGCGCGCCGTGGGCCAGCTCCCTCTCCTTTGCTGGCTTCTTCGAAGCTGGAGCCGCCCCCGTCTCTCTCGCCTTCAAGTAGGCCGAGAAGCGGCCTCACAATTGCACGCCACTGGCCCAAGAATTCCAAGCGCAGCGTCCGGCCGGCCCTGGCCCCACGGCAGGTGGTGTCCTGGCTTCCGGGAGCAGCAGGGAGAAGCTGCCTTCCAGCAGGTCGAACTCCACCTCCCAGCCTCGGGAGACGGCCGCCCGTTCCTCCAGGGTTCCTGTCTCGAATTTTCCCCCTCCTCCTCCTCCCACTGCGTCTCCCCTGCCCCCTCCCCCATCCGTCCCTCCCATAGACTCCAGACCTGCCCCCGCTGCCCGTCCTCCCTCTCGTCATCTTCGCTGTCCTCCTCCTCTGGCTCCTCTGGTTCCTAAAGGGGCAGACTGCTCCACAATCCGACCGCTTCCCTGACGAGGGAGCAGAACTCAGGTTTCAACCCAGGGCCCGCCAGGAAAGAAGAAAAAAACGGCCTGGCGCGAGCCTGGACACTTGGAGAGAAGAGCGCGCGGCCCTGGACACGGGAAAAGGGAGGCCCCAGAAAACGGGGTTCCCAACCTCCTCTGAGCTTGTCCGGGGCCACTGCGCGCCAGTCTGGCCGCTTCTCGGCCCTTCCTGGCCAGGGAGACGCAGGCCTGAGAAAGGAGCAGGGCTTGTCGCCTGCCGTGGGCCCCGCAAGTTTTGCAAAAGACGTAGGTGTCCTCCCTCGTCCCATAGGGCCGCCCTCCAAGCCCGTCCCCACCACCCCAACTCACCCAAAGCCGATGGGACTGTGGGACTGGGCGACGAACCTGGAAGCCCTGGGCACTGCTTCGAGACTCGCCTGGCCCTAGACGCTCCCCGAATCCCGCAGACCTCGCACCCCCTGGCTCGTCCGAGCCGGTGGAGCCGATGGCCCGCGTCGGGCTTCACCAGGACCAGGCAGGGGGGGGTTCGGGCCAGCGGACCAGGGGGTTTCCCACAATCGGGCCAGGCTCGAGCGGCGCGCTCTTTCTGCACTCCGCAATGGAAGCGGCACCAAACTCGGGCTGAAGCGGCGGCCTCAGCCCAGGCCCGCCCCAGCTGGCGCAGCGCCGCCTGGCCAGCGTGCAGCTTCGCACCTTGGCGAGCATTCCTGTCCGCCTCCGCGTTGCCCGCGCAAGCCTGGAAGCTGGCGCCGCGCCCGCTGGCCTTTGTCCACTTGCGCGGGCCTTCGTCCACCTGGGGCTGAGGAACTCGGGCCCGAGCTCCTCCCTCATGGCGAAAACGTCTCGCCACAGGTCCGCGCACTTGCGCGTGGCCCCGCGCAATGCTCCTCTCCTCGTTCGCAGTCGTCCACGATCTCCTTGCAGTCCGAGTAGACCGCCACTGGTTCTGGTCCAGCTTCTTCAGAAGCATGCACAACGCGCGCAGCTCCACGTGCCCGCCGCCCCGGGTCCACCCAGGCGCGCAGCCGAACATCCCGCCGAAGGCCTGCCCGACGTCGCCCGCCATAGCGGCTGCCCGGCCCGTCCTCGAAAGCCTGGCCTCAGTCGGGCGCATGGCAGATCCGCCGACGCAGATCACTCCTCCGAAGTAATCATGGCGCGCCACGCCTGCTCTGTGGCACAGATCCTCCATGCTGGGCTTCGGCGCCCAGTCCAGACCCGGGCCCAGCGCGTCTCGTGCCATCCCCAGGTAGCACTCGCCGGCAACTTTGCCTGCTTCAGCGACACTCCGGCAGCCCAGCTCCCCCGCCGAGGTCCGGGTGGCAAGTCGGGCGAAACGGCGGCCGCCTCGCGACCGCGCCACTTGCAAGACGGGCTCGTCACCGCACGCTCATCGCACAGGTCGCTCTGCGTCACCAGGCCTCCTGCGACGCGGGCCCCCAGCAGCGCGACCACCTCGAACCTGCCTTCTCGGCGCAACCCAGCAAGCACCAGGCGGAACGGCTCGTTGTCGGGCGCGCTGCCGTCCAACTGCTCGAATCCCGGGTGCTAGGCCACCATCCGCATCAGGCAGCGGCGCGCCCCCGCCTCGATCAGGCTGGACACTGCGCGGGGGCTCAGCAGACGCAGTTCAATCATCTGGCTCAAACGCACACCCACTGGTCCAACGCGAGCTGCTGTGAGCCGATCCGCTCCAGCGAGAGGAACACCGCTCCTGCAGGGCCAGTGGCCTCTCCCCAGGTGTCAGTCTTCGCTCGCCTCCATGAGCATCTTGAACGCCGCCTCTGGCCCGCGCTGGAGGAGTGCTGCCTTCGCCCACGCTCCGAAAGGAGGTGCGTGGGCCGCGCTGGCTGGGTCGCGTTTCCACGCCTTGCCCTCTTGCAGCGCGAACAGCAGCGCGCGCGACTTCTTGCTGACCTCTGCCGTCGAAGCTTTTCCATTCACCGCTCAGGCCCGCTGGAGAACCTGCCTGAAATGGCACCCCGCGGGGCCGCGCCCCGCGCCCCGCGGGGATGGGCGCCGGGCCCCCCGCCCCGAAGGCGCTGCACAGCTTCCTGGCCCCCGCCTTCTTGAGGGGCATGTAGCGGCCAGCCCGCCATCTTGCCCATCGCACTATCCACGTCAAGGTTCTCGGTGGCCTTGTCGGAAATGTCACTTTTTTAGCCGCTGGTCTACCCCGCGCGCAACGTCGCCCACGGAGCTCAGGACCTGCCCTTGGTCGTCGAGATCGCGAAGCCGATGCCCTCCCAGGCTTGGCAGAGCATCCCCTTGGCCCCCCACCAGAACGCGCTCCGCCTGGGCTCTCTTGGCGCGGGCAGCGAAGGTGATGTCGCCCACGACCGCGTAGGTCTTGACCGGCGCTCTGGGCATCGCGCCCAGGGGCTGGACCAGGAGCGCTCTCAGGAGCGTCGCGGCGCAGGGGCAGCCTGACAGCAGGGGGAGGTCCAGGTGGATAGCCTCCGTCTTCCATCTGAACAAGCATGGCATCCGCCTCCCGCCGTGCAACCTCGCCAGCAGCTTGATCCTGGACCTCCTCAGCGGGAAGCCCTCCCCGACGGCTGCGTGCGCCAGCCCTCGGTGGATGAGCCCCCCGCAAGCTTTGCTCAGGTCGAGCAGGAGGCAGTGGAGACCAGACCCAGCGCTCGGAAGCGGTCTGCGTCAAAGCTCTGGGGCCAGAGCGCGCAGTCGCAGGACATGCCTGTCCCATCGTAGAAGTACTGCCTGTCCATGGCCTTCTCCCACTGATTCGCCCCCTGCTGCCTTGTCTCCCCTGGCAGCCTGACCAGCGACGCAATTAACCCGACCGGCCTCCAGCGCCAATCGGGCTTGGCCAAGAAGAAGATGAATACCTCCGCGATCTGCCGCGGGAAGGCCGCCTCTCTCGATGCAAGCCGAGGGCCAGCAGTCCGTCCTCGGAGAGCCAGCTAAAGTGGCGCGGCCCGACGCTGTCGATGCCAACCGCCCGAGCCTCGGCCGCCCTCGCGTCGAAGGCTCGGGCCGCTGGGCGCACGCGGCCCTCCGGGGCGCGCGGCTCGCCGAAGGCGAGCTGCCCCGTCGTTCTCAGCTAGCGGGCCAGGTCATTATGCCTGCAGGCTTTCTGCCTCGGTTCGAGCCCGACGTCGCCCACCGCGTCCTGTCGGGCCAGCTTGCCGGCGGCGCTGCCAGCGTCGCCAGCTCCCTGGGGGCGAGGCGCGGCTGTTGGAGGCGTCTCCTGCCCCCGAGCATCCCCCACGCGGTGATGCCGATCCTCCTCCACGTCTGGGCCTGTGGGCATCCTCTGGCGCAAGACCCTCGCTTGTTGACGCTGGCTTCCTGCCCCGCGAACTTCGGGGCCACTCCCCTTCCACTGCGGCGGGCTCGCCCCTCTTCCGACCAGTCGAACCAGCGAGACAGGTCCTCCTCCAGCATCGCCGTAAACTTCCCGTCAAGCTGGCCCAGCGCGGCCGCCGCGTCGCCCTGCCCCTCGCCATGCTGCCCATGGCGCTGCGACGGCAACTCCATGCCTCGATCTGTCTCCGACGACTCCTGGACGTCCCACCACCGCCTGGAATGGTCGCGCGGTTGCCCCTGGTTTGGGGGAAGGTTGCCGGGGTGCTCAGCGAGCTGCCCCCCCGCCCTGCCCCGACCAGCGCGCCCCCCCTCCAGGCTGCCGAGGCCCCGCCCACGCCGCCCCTCCAGCGGCGGCTCGCTCTCCCAGCCTCGCGCCAGCGGCGCTCGGAGGGCCCGCGGGCACCTCAACTGCCCCGTCGCCCATGCCGTCGACGGAAAACTGCCCTTTTCTAAAGGGATCTAGCTTTGAAGGGGCGCCGGGGGGGAGCGACAGCTCGAACGAGTTAAACAAGTGAGAGCACTATCGCACATGTTTTTCCCCGGACTCCTGCCGCACAAGAAACTGTTTCACGAGAAATGCGAGCAACCTCGCAGTGGCCGAAGTTATTGACAGGCCTCGCACTCGCGCTCCACGAGCGCGAATCTAGACAGTCATGCACGGCCACGGGGAGGGGGGGAGCACAGGGTGGGTATGGGAGGGAAGACTATGAGCGACCCTCAGTCCCTGCTGAGCTCCCCCCCCGAAAAACCCCGTTGAGACAACACTCATTTTCTAAAGGGATCTAGCTTTGAAGGGACGCCGGGGGGGAGCGACAGCTCGAACGAGTTAAACAAGTGAGAGCACTATCGCACATGTTTTTCCCCGGACTCCTGCCGCACAAGAAACTGTTTCACGAGAAATGCGAGCAACCTCGCAGTGGCCGAAGTTATTGACAGGCCTCGCACTCGCGCTCCACGAGCGCGAATCTAGACAGTCATGCACGGCCACTCCCGGAATCCTGTAAGGGGTCCTTCAGGACACTTGAGGCGGGCAAAGCGAGAAAGGGGGGGCGGAGAGGGTAAAAGCGAGGCCCGCCTCCGAACTAAACAGAAACCCAAGCACTCACAGCTTTCAGCTCAGGACCGCGGCCTCTTGGGCCGCTCACCGAGGTCATGGTACTTCTGGCTACCTAGCTCCTTCAGGTTCTCAGGGGTTCTCGCGAGGGCTGTGGCGTACTCGTGGGTCTTGGAATATCTCTGAACACTTGTATCTACTCTCCAACGGCCTCTTTTCTGAACTTCTTTTAGAGTGCGGTAACCGATCCAGACGTCGAAGGAGGGCCCCGTGTGTCGAATATTGTGAGGTCGGCCCACGATCTCTGCAACGCCAAGTTCCGCACACGCTCGATACCACATATTTCGGAATCTGACCTGGCTGATGGGGAAAATGCGATCGTCCTCTTTCTTGCCCTGGATACGGTTGAGAAGCATCCTCT